AGTGACAGATAACCCGCTGATGACAACCGCAAGAGTCTTTCCTTTGTCTTTCCCCAGAAGGAATAAGGAAGCTCATGGCTTCTTCTTTCCTCCCAGTGAAGCTGCTGAAAAGAGCCATTGCAGCAAAATGGGACAGTTGTTGCCCTCCACTGAGCTGCAAGGGAAAGCCACGTGTCTCCCTCTTTTCTTCCAGTGAAGGCCACCAGATTATAGGTCTCTCTGTGCTTGCAAGGGTGTGTGTGTATCTTTGTATGTCAGGGGAAGACTCTCTGGATATATGTTTGGCCCTCTAGGTTGACCCTAAAGCTCCCCAACTTTGCCTTCTCAAAATCAATCCCATTGTCTTCAGCATGTGTTTCAAATGTTTCAAGATGCTCTCATAGACTTTCATTTTATTTCTTATATTCTCCAGGCAAACGTTTCCAGCTTTTTCCAACATTTTCTCTTAAGAATTGTGTCCAGTTTGACCAACGTTCCAAGCCATCTTGCCCAGCAATAGGTATGGTATTTGTAGTGAAGTTTGGTCAAAGCAGAATAGAACAGTGCTCTTCCTTCTGGGTGTTGATCCAGTTATTGGATTTATCCTTTCCTTTCATTCAGGAACTCAAGGCAGCATTTTCTCATGTTCCCACTCCTCTTTCTCCCTACAGCCACCACCCTGTGAGAGAGATTGTGTTGAGAGAAGGTGGCCCAAAGTCACCCAGTGAGCTGATATGTTGCTGCTGCAGAAGCCCAAGGCTTCTGATTGCTCATAAACGATATATTGCATATAAATAATGTGTCTCCTGTAGGTAAAAGGGGCATTGAGCATAGGCAGAACACGTCTAGTGCAAACATTTTATTATAACATAAATGTATGAACTTATTTGCCACATCCCTTCCTCTTTGTGGAGTTTTGTAATTCGGAAAAGCAAGCTACTGTTTCCATCCCTTCAGTTATCCTGTAGGATTATTAAAGCTGAAAGCTTGTCATTTAGGAGGTTCTGCCATTCCATCATTGTCCTTATTTAGAAATCTGGGGGTTTGGCCTGCAATCCTTGTTTGAACCACCTTTTGGAAGCTTCTGACCATCATTGCTGAAAACTGGCAGCATGGTTGCCTGCCAGGTTGAGTCATGAAACCCCTGAGAACAGCAGAGTAAGATATAAAGGGGGTTTAAAATACTTCTTTATAAATGAAAAGTCCTTCTGCCCAAGAATCCAGAATAAAAAGAACTGCCTAGTTCTTTCTGTCCGTAATGCTCTGCTCACCTTTCATCGTCATTTCTTCCCAACCATATGTAGTAATCTCTTGGTCTTTTTGATTAAACAATAAAATGTGCATGCCTTTGCAATTGAACAAAAAAAAAAAATTCCAAATATAATTTTTCCCCTTTTTGTATTTAAATGAGGTGTTATTTATGCTGCTTCCGGTGTCTATGAAGAAGAATTTCATCCTACAGGGAAAAAAAGATGAATCATGGTGGAATCCTCTGATGACATAAAATATGTTCTGAACTCAGTCTGGATTGCTAAATGGTGAAAGTTATAAAATGTTTTGGGCCGTGATTTTAATGGCTTCTTCTGACACCATTTGGCGATCGATGTGATCTTGGGCGCTTGATCACTTGTCTGGTTGATGAGGCAGTAGGGGCTGGGTCCCTCCGTTACCCCAATATGTCCGTTTTTTGCAGGGTTTGTCAAACAAACGATCATTTTATTTCTCCCCCACTTGATTTTCTGTTCCCTTCCTTTCCTGGAAAATGAGAACTGTGACTCAGACTGGGCCCCCGAGGAGTCAGCTGGTGCCTGGGGGGAGATTGCTGGTGATGAAGAAGCAGGGGAGCTGGGAGAAGCTCTTGACGCTCCAGTGGTTAGGAGACAGCCTTCACAAGACACCACGCTGCACCAGCTTTGCAAGCAAAATCTTAAGCTGTAATGATAAGTCCATTTTATGTGTCAAACACATCCTTTGATTTGTTCTCTCCCAAGCATATGCTCCCTGCTTAGCTAATGCGGGGCTGTTTACAGGAGAGCATCCGATCAGGGACAGGGAAAGTATGGCTGATACCCTCCCCACCAGCTCTCTCCCCTCTCAGCTTCCCTCCTGTCCTCGACTAAAGGATCAACTGGATGTCCCCCTTACTGCAGCATGAAAAAGCCCTGCAAACATTTCTAAATGACATGTCCTGATGTTGCCTTTGTGTCATCCCCAGTCCATAGTAGAGGTAGCTTAAACTAGGCTTCAGCAGCTCCAGTTTAAAAGTAGTGGTTTTCCTCTTCCTCTGACACTGTTTGGCCATTAACGCTTTGTGATACACTTCTTGTATGTTAAATGGGTTCCTTATAAACCCAGCACCTGCTCTTTTGAGAGAATGGAAGATCTGTATTTAAAAAACAGGACTAGCCCTCTCCTGGTGAAGCCATCGTCGATGGAAGTGTGTGTGCTTATGGTACACCTGTCTCTCGCTTGGCCTCTGGGGAGAGGGAGGTGCTGCCTGTAGCTTTCTCCCACTTTGAAGCTTCTTCCAGGGGCCTTATTGCTGAAGGTCTCAGGGAAGGAGGAAGGGCGCAGAGAGAACTGGAAGGAAGCTGTTTCCTGCTTCAGCCAGTGCAAAGCGTGCAACACCATGTTTTACAACAGGTAAAATGACAGGTTACTGACATGAAGCACACTCTGGCTCTACCCTGTCACTCTGGTAACTTGAAAGATGTCAGTCCATTAAGATAGACCACAATAGAGGCCACAAGACTGCTGAAACTCCACTTTATTGATACAGGCTACAGTGGCAGAAACTTGAAAACCTGACATGTTTTCTCTTCCTCCCCATGATAGAGTCAGTCTAAGTTCCTTTCTAATGTTTTCTTCATTTTGCAGGCTTAAAAATGTTTTGGTAACTGTCGTAATCTCTATGGTGCTCCATATCAGGGTTGCTGAACCCTCCACCTCAGGTTCCTACTTACACTGGCCCAACTCAACCTTGCTCTACCCCACTCCCCTGTTTAAAAAGGTAGTTGGTGACTGTTTCTGGCAAGCAGGTGACACTTGGTGGGAGAGGAAGTGGAGCTGGAGGGGTCCACCAATGGCTGCCCTTAAATGGTCTCAAATGAAATCTGCACGTGTACCACTGCTTGCCAGCCAGATCGTTGAGGCAGATTAGGACTCAGCTCTCCGAACAGTCCACATTCTGCCAGCCTATTTTCCCAGGAGCAGAGGAATGCATGCAAACATGGCTGTGAGAAGGGCACTAACTAAACTTCCAAATTTTGGGTAGAGATTGGGAGAAAATTAAGCATACCTTTAATCTTTTTTTTTTCTCAAGCCCAAACCTCTTTGTGATGGTCAGGAGATTTCATTTGGATTTTGCCTGCTCCTTTCAATTCTATTTCTCTCCTTCTCTACCATAACTCTGGCAATGCTGCTAGGTAGGAAAAAGATTGGGAATGTACATGTATGGGATAAAACTGCCCATTGAGAGCAGTATGCCTGGAGATTTTGAGCACAGGGGATGAAGTCTGGAGTTACCTCTGGTCTCCTGGCTTTCTCCATGGTCTCTTACCAAGGCAGGCAGGCAGGCAGGCAGGCAAGCAGGCAAGCAGAAAAGCTGGCGGGTCAGCTGGCTGGCTAGCTGACCGACATTGGAGGCTAGAGGTTAATTTCCTCATCTGCAATCTACACTAAAGAAGGAGTGTATCAGTGCCATTCATTTGGGTGCTAGGAATCTCCCCCAGGCTTTCTTGAAGGCTGCCTTCACATCTTTGTTGCGTAAGCTGTAAATCAAAGGGTTGACCAGCGGGTTGACTACTGTATAGAACAACGCATTTGCCTTGTCCCAGTTGGGAGTGTGCTGAGAGTTGGGTGTGGAGTATATGATGAGCATGGAGCCATAGAAGAGGGAGACAGAGAGCAGATGAGCCGAGCAAGTGGAGAAAGCTTTGCGTCTCCCGGCAGCCGAATGGATACGAACAATGGCTGCCACAATACCAATGTAGGATTTCACAATGATAGCTGTGGCTGCCAGCAAATTGAAACCAATGAGAGCAGTCAGGATGAGTTCATACACTTGTGTGTCATCACAGGCCATCTTCACAAGTGGTGGAACATCACAAAAGTAGTGGTTGATGACATTGCTTCCACAGAAGCGTAAGCAGAAAGTGTTGGCGGTGTGTGCAATGGAATTGGCAAACCCCACTACATAAGCTCCTAGCACCAGCTGGACACAGAGCTTCTTGGGCATGGCAGTGGTGTAAAGGAGTGGGTTGCAGATGGCCACAAAGCGGTCATAGGCCATGAAAGTTGGCGGTGTGTGCAATGGAATTGGCAAACCGTTGGCGGTGTGTGCAATGGAATTGGCAAACCCCACTACATAAGCTCCTAGCACCAGCTGGACACAGAGCTTCTTGGGCATGGCAGTGGTGTAAAGGAGTGGGTTGCAGATGGCCACAAAGCGGTCATAGGCCATGAAAGCCAGTAAGAAGCATTCACTCCATCCCAATCCAGCAGAGAAGAAGAACTGGGCTGCACAACCAGCTAGGGAAATGTGGTTGTTCTTGGACACGCAGTCATATAAGATCCGAGGAGTGTAGACTGAGGAGTACCAGATATCCAGAAAGGACAGGCTGCCCACAAAGTAGTACATGGGTGTGTGCAAACGGGAGTCTAGGTAGATCAGTGCCATGAGGCCCAGGTTCCCAGTCAGTGTTAGGGTGTAGGAGACCAAGAACACCACAAAGAGGATTATGCGTAGCAATGGGTTGGTTGTAAACCCAACCAAGACAAAATCGGTAACCAATGTCTGATTTCCTTCCACTTCCATTGTTTTCATAAGTATAACCTGTTTAGAGGGGAAAAAGAAGTAAAAATTTTGCAGATTGGGGCCCTAAATAATGAATGCATGGTATGATTTTGAAAAATGTTTTGGAAACTCTGTAATATTTGGGGATGCAATGGCCTAGCGGCTTAATGACGCTGGAATTTGCCAGCCAGAAATGGTCGACACTCCAGTGGTTCGAGCTCAGCTCCACGTGACGGAGTGAGCTCCCGTCATTTCGCCCATAGCTCCTGCCCACCTAGCAGTTCGAAAGCATACCATCTGCGAGTAGATAAAAAGGTATTCCCATTTTGGTGGGAGGAAGCACTGGCAGCACTCTGCGAGGGAAGCAGGAACCGGTGCTGGACCTGCCTAGACACGATCGGCAGAGGATCAGCGGAGGAAGAAAGCCTGGATGAGCTGACTTCCCTGTGACCACTGCTGGCCAGTAAAGAAAGTAGCAATTGTTTATATAAATAAATAATGTTGTACGCCGCCCAGAGTCACCTGTGTGAGATGGTCGGCTATATAAATGTGATGTATGAATAAATAAATATTTGATATGCTGTTGCTAATTTTGCCCCAAACCAATTATGCTTTTGGTTTTTGAACATTCTGTAAACTTTTACGTGATGCAGGTTTCACATGATAATAATAATAACATTAGATCCTTCTTGCATTAGGGGCCCTGGACTCCATGTCTTTTGGAAACCCTTTCTGAAGGCAGGTCTCAGCATATAAATCAATCAATCAATCAATCAATCAATCAGACAAACAAATAAACAAATAAATATTATTGAGAGTCAGGGAGCATACAGGTTTTAATAATAATAATAGTAATAATAATAATAATAATAATAATTTCTTTACATGGGCAATCTGAAGCTGTATGGAAAAACACTTTCTGACATGGAATCGCTGCTCAATACTGTCTAAATATACAATCAAGATATTGCAATGGAGTTTGGACTGGACAAATGTGCCACCCGTATCATCAACAAGGGAAAAGTAGTGAAAACTGAAGGAATCAAGATGCCCAATGGAGATAACATCAAGAGTCTGGATGAAGAAGATCACTACAAATACCTGGTCATCCTTCAGGCTGACAACATCAAGCACACTGAAGTCAAGAAGATTGTTAGTAGTGAATACACCAGAAGAGTGAAGAAGATCAAAGTCCAAACTCAGTGGTGGAAATACCATCAAGGTGATTAACACCTGGGCAGTTCCAGTCATTTGACAGCTGGAATACTGGCCTGGACACAAGCTGAGCTAAAAGCCCTGGATAGGAAGACCAGAAAAATAATGACAATGAATCATGCCCTTCATCCACACAGTGACATGGACAGGCTCTACTTACCAAGGAGCATAGGTGGGCATGGAATGTTGAAGTCTATCAGACAGTTGAAGAAAAAAGGGCATTGGAAGAATATCTGAAGAGGATGGACTGAAGCTAGTACACCATGAAGAATAGAAAAGAGACATGGCAAGGCAAAGTATTACATGGCCAGTACACAAGAAAACTAGCAGGCAAAGCAAAACAGCAAGACCTGGCAATAGCTAAGAGCAGGAAGTTTGAAGAAAGAGACAGAGGGGCTAATTCTGGCTGCACAAGACCAAGCCTTAAGAACAAATGCATACAAAGCCAGAACTGAGAAGACAGCAACAGACAGCAAATGCCATCTCTACAAAGAAGCTGAAGAAGGAGTGGACCACCTAGTTAGCTGCTGCATGAAGATTGCACAGACTGACTACAAACAATGGAATGACAAAGTAGCTACAATGGTGCACTGGAGTATCTGCAAGAAATACCACTTGCCTGCAAGGAAGAACTGGAGGGACCACAAAATGGACAAAGTCATAGAAAATGAAGAAGCTAAAGTGCTCTGGGACTTAAGAATTCAAACAGATAAGCACCTGCCACACAACTCCCCAGACTGAATAATTCTTGATAAGAAAGAGAAAAAAGTCTAGATAGTGGACATTGCAATGCCTGGAGACAGCAGAATAGAAGAGAAAGAAATGGAGAAAATCACAAAATATAAAGACCTGCAAATAGAAGTTGAACGACTATGGCAAAAGAAAGCAAAGATAGTACCAATAGTTATAGGTGCCTTAAGTACAATCCCAAAAATTCTGGAGCACCACTTGAATACCATCAACATTGACAAAATCACCATCAGTCAATTGCAAAAGGCAGCTTTACTTGGAACATCTTATATCCCACAACGGTACATTTAACACCATCAAAGAAGATCATCTGCCTATCCCAGGTCCTTGGAAATGACTCAATAGGTGGATAAAAATGCCAAATCCAGTCTAAACATCTGGCTGACTGTGCAACCAACCATAATAAGTTCAGCAAGTTTGCAGAAAGAGTTAAATGGCTCAGAGTGTAAACAAGAAAGCAGCTGGAGAGGCACAGGGAGGGGACTGTGTTGAGGACTGTGATAGGACCTCTGCCTCCGTGCCTGGCCCCCAATTCTGCTGAGGAAGGGCTTCTCTTGTGAAGCAATTCTAACCCTGCCCGTGGGAAGAGCGCAAGGGGCTGAAACAGATGAGCGATCCTGAGCAGGTGGAGAAAGAAGAGAATCAGTCAAGGGCAGGGAGATGAGGGCAGCAGCTTGGCCTCAAGGGAATACAAAGTCCATGTTCTGCACCCTAAGCCGGAGGGCTTCCCCCGTTGCTGGGCTTCAGAGGCACATCACTGCATTCCATCTTGTGTGCTATAAAGCCACTTTTAAATCAGTATAGTAAACCATCCCAATATTTTTAAAAGCTTATTTTTGTAGGGTCCACACAGGAAGAAAGAAAGGAAAGGGTGAGGGATTGCAATGACCCAGTAGATAGCATCCCAAATGAAGACATACAAAATCATCCTGGTACATTTTATCAGACTGAGATGGAGAAGAAGGTGTCTTGATCACTTCCACAATGGCAAAAGAAGCAACGAAGCCTAGAGGTTCTCTTGCTGCAACAGTGGGTGGGCTTCATGGCTGAGAGGGAGGCAAAAAACTACTTAGAGTTTGGGGTCCAGGCAAGATAAGGCCACTGTCATGTTTGGGGAATACTGGATTGGGCAGGGTCTTCCGCTGCTAAACTACAAATGAGGAAAGGGGCCTGTATAAATACCTGGCCAGGTCAAAAGGTCCAGTTGTGCACAAATGGGTTTTACAACAATGGATGTATTCTCAGTCTGTAAAAAACAAAAGGGGAAAATGATGTCTACAACTTTGATCTGAACTATAGTTGTATCAGGATCTCACAAGGCAGGTAAATAATGGATTCCATTCTGGAAAATGGAAACTTATTTTCTGGAAAATGGAAACTATTATGACTTAATACTGATTTAGCTGCTGGGAGTAGAGCCAAAAATACTTCTAACCTAGCCCAAATGTTTTCAGTGCTGCAAAAAAACTGAATATCATGAATTATTGCGCATGACTACCAGAGACTGACTGGTCCATATGTTGTGTAAATTCTTAAACAGATAAATAAAAAGTAGTTTCTACTAACAGTTTATATGTGGATTCATATGACTTTGAAATGCACTTTGATCCTGTATGGAGCTATGTAATGAATCTACACCAATCCTTGTACTAACTGGAAGTTCTTACTTAATTTATCTGTGGGGTTAAATTTTTTCCAGTCAGGTCCAGACAATGCACACGATTACCCCCAATTTATTTTTACCAGACACTTCTGAGGTTGGAGGGACTAAGAGAAAGTGATGGAATTAAAAGTATGTCAACGAACTTCATAACTGAACAGCATTTGAACCTGGATCTTTCATTAATGGTAATGATGTACCAATCAGGCTGTCTATGACAAGCCATTTATGGACCAAATGAACTCTCAGACTAGAAGGATGAAGGTCATCATACCCAAAGTCTGCATTCAGAGAAGATTCTCTGTTATTTATCCATAATTAACATATCTGAGGTGCTTGCAACTGCAAAGCTGGCATCAAATTTGTATCTGAACATGTTCCCAGCCCTCATTTTCAGCCTTGGTTTTTGGCTCAAAGCTCTCCTTCCCTTTATTGTGACAGCATTAATATTGGACTCAGTCGTTTCAACCTTACCATCAACAATTTTGTTGGCATCCCTGCTGATCTTTCAGGTTTACAAGGAGCAGTGGCTTTTGATAAAGAAGGGTTAGGGCCCATGGAGGGGTTTAGTTTACAATCTTATGCACTTTCATAGGCATACTGTAATCCCCACACTGAATCCAGTGGGAATTAGTTCCAAATAGGTGAGTATAGGACTGCTCTGAAAGAGAATGCCTGGTACCAAAGATGCAAGGATAGTGAATGAACTTTTTCTGCCCTCAAAACAATCAACCAGAGGGCAATTCCCAGAAAGAGAAATACTTCAGAATAGCAGAGAGTGAAGTTCTGGGAGCAATAATTCTAATATACATAGTAGACCCGAAACTGGGAAAGAGAGTTAGTGTGTTTCCCAAAACCAGAGTAATATCAAGTGTTATCTTTAACATCTACACTAGAATAATTATTTTATCTCTCTGGGCAACTGGAATCCCCTGCTTTGTCCTGTGATATCTTCAGGGTTCAACCTTTTCAGCTTACCTGCATTGTGAGTCCAATTCCTTAGTTAGCATCAGTCACCCCATACCCAAATCTCTCCCTTCCGTCTGTTCTCAGAATTACTTGATATGATGCACTTCTTTCTTGAAAAGTTCCTCATCTTTCCAGAACCAACATAATCCTTGAAATCCTTCTCCAGAAAATAAGACCATTCAAACATTTCTTGTATCTTCTCTGAAGCTTTTCTCAGCCATGCAATCCCCTAGTTTTCAGAGCACTGAGAGTATAACTTGGTTTCACTGTCATGCACTGCTCTTTTTCTATGAAATATTATAAAACTATATTAATACCAACTTTGACTACCTTGTTTTCTTGGATTGCCCCCAAAGTGTATAATTGGGGTACAGCTTCCCTCTGCACATTCCATCAGAATAACCAGGCGTGCCCCAGGCAAAAAATC